TCCTAGTCGGGCTGCTTCAAACGGAAATATCTGCAACAGCCAATGAGAGCGAGCGGACAGCGAAGCCACCGGATGTTTTGCACTTCAACAGCAAATATAAACACAACTGAGCCCCGAACCGAGTGGAAAAGAAGACCAGCTTGTGTCTTTATAACATCTCCTGCAAGATGTTTGTTTTTTGTTACTCGCTACACAACAGAGTGCACGGCAGGACAGCCAGCTGCCGACGATCGTCATTCATATTTGTTTATCTACCAAAGTCAAGTTTAATCATGCGAATTTCTGTGACATCTGAAATTGGCGCTGTCATGGTCATCGTGGTAACAAATAGCAGGCGTGTGGTCTCACGGTTGTCTGGTGTGTGGGTTAGGGTTAGGGGTTAGGGTAAGATTAAAAATCGGCGAAAAATGTCCTTATGTCTGTGCTCTCCTACATTTTAAAAATCAGTTAAGATTATAAAATCATCTAGTTTGTGGCCAGCTTAACCGCTAGGCCATCTGTGCCCCGCTGGTCTGGTTTCAAGATTTTTTCATCTGTGTAGGTTTGTGGTTTGGTGGTTTGTGTTGTGTTGTTAGTGTGATTTGGTTCTTGTGGTTTGTGTTGTTTGTGTTGGTTAGTGTGTTTTGGTTTGTTGGTTTAGTTTGTGTGGGTTGTGTTGGTTTGGTGTGTTATATGTGTTGGTTAGTCTGGTTTGTGAGGTTTGTGTTGTTTGGTTTGATATATTTGGTTCTTGTGGTTTGTGTTGTTTGGTTGGTGTGGTTTTTGGTTTGGTGGTTTGGTTTGGGTTTTGTGGGTCTGGTTGTGTTCACATCACTTAGCACCATGTAACGTTGGTGTGGTTCAGATTTCATGTTGGACTCAACAGCTTTGATGGCCATTGTCCCAAGTTACAAAGCTCCTTTGCATTTCTTGCCAGTCACCTCATAGTCATTGTTTGCCGCTACCTTTCATTTCTGATATTTTTCATCTTCTAGCCAAGAGTCCTTGAACTGAATTTCTCCATCTTCTTCCCTTTTGTTCTCCTGTTAACAGTTTGTGAATACCAACATAATAAATACAATGAACTGTGATGAGCTCCTCTGTCACTCACCCCGTACACCAGCTCTCCAACCATCCCATTCCACATCTTTGTTTCGACGTTTTGTGCTCCATACTTTCCATCTCCGACCAGCTCCAGCCGGTAGGAGAAGCCAACGTGTTTGGCGATCTCCGAGGCCAGCTCAGCACAGTAACCTTCGTATCTGTCGTTCCCTACAAGCTGCTCGTGGTTCTTCTTCAGCATCATGTAGGGAGCCTCCTGCAGGCACACAGATGGTGTTTATGAAGACAGTGCTGTCAATCACTGTCTCTGGTTTGACAAATAACGAGACAGCTAAGTTCATAACAGCATCATGACTGTGCAGTCTTACCAGTATGGTGGTGACTATATATGTTCTGTTCTGCAGGCCGTAGAACTCCTCCACCACCGGTCTATACACGGCCGTCTTCACGTAACCGCTCCTCTCGTTCCAGATGCCGATCTGAACACAGATCAGCAGAGTTACAGGTGTGCTGTTTGTGTCTTTGTCTAATATCTATCTCACATTTCTGTTTCAAACTGCCCTACACGTCATTCAGTCTTTTGTCATCCCAGTCCCTCGTATTGGGATCTGCCAGTCACTAATGCTCCACAAACTGTTCTGCTAACAGCTCTGGAGTAGATGTTGACTGTACGGCTGTTCCTGACTGTATTTTCAATAAGCCATACTAGGTATGAAGCACCAAACTTCTGTTTCTGCACCAAACTTCTGATACTCTGCACCAAACTTCTGTTTCTGCGCCAAACTTCTGTTTCTGCACCAAACTTCTGTTACTCTGCACCAAACTTCTGTTTCTGCACCAAACTTCTGATACTCTGCACCAAACTTCTGTTTCTACACCAAACTTCTGTTTCTGCACCAAACTTCTGTTTCTACACCAAACTTCTGTTTCTGCACCAAACTTCTGATACTCTGCACCAAACTTCTGTTTCTACACCAAACTTCTGTTACTCTGCACCAAACATCTGTTTCTGCACCAAACTTCAGTTACTCTGCACCAAACTTCTGATACTCTGCACCAAACTTCAGTCACTCTGCACCAAACTTCTGTTACTCTGCACCAAACTTCTGTTTCTGCACCAAACTTCAGTTACTCTGCACCAAACTTCTGATACTCTGCACCAAACTTCTGTTACTCTGCACCAAACTTCTGATACTCTGCACCAAACTTCTGTTACTCTGCACCAAACTTCTGATACTCTGCACCAAACTTCTGTTACTCTGCACCAAACTTCTGATACTCTGCACCAAACTTCTGATACTCTGCACCAAACTTCTGATACTCTGCACCAAACTTCTGTTACTCTACACCAAACTTCAGTCACTCTGCACCAAACTTCTGTTACTCTGCACCAAACTTCTGATACTCTGCACCAAACTTCTGATACTCTGCACCAAACTTCTGATACTCTGCACCAAAC